TTTGTGTGTGTGTCTGCTCAAACATGTGTGCAGGCCTTGTGTCATGCCTTGCTTTTAAATATTAACCACCTCCAGCTGCGAAGATGTGTAGGAGGGAAAGGATGCAGGACAGAAGGAGAGGGGGGAGAAAAATAAATGAACATGTGCCCCCCTTTACCCCCTCCTATACCCTCAGGGTCCGTCTGTCTGAAGACGCATCAGATGAAAAAGGAGACGGATGGAGGGACTCTGGAAGGATGGAGTGATTTAGATGAAAACACAGTGAGGTGGATGGATAAAGAGGCCGTAGGAGGAAGAAGTGAGGGTCAGTATCCGAGGAACAGGGCGAAGCTGATTGGAGGATTACGATCATGCACMCTAAAGAGTGAATAATTCATAAAAATCCTCTTTCTTTCAGCACTATTTGCCTTGAATTCACCCAGATTTATAATTCATTTGGTGTTCATTTGGTCCGACCCCCGAGTTTTGTGCTGACCGTTCGTACCTCTCTGTTTTTGGTGCGGTTGTCTGCTCCCCTCATGTTCACCCTCCCCTCTTTCCCTCTCTCTGCCAGGGTCATGCTTAATGCATGAGCCTGTTGCAGCGAGACAGGTCTCAGGGCCACTTTGTCGCCAGAGCAGAAAAATACTACAGATCACGTGAAATAACTCTGCTACCTGTTTTCCACTCCGTCTCACAACCATTTCATCATTCACTGCAGAGAAGATTACATATTCTTGCTGCACTTTGTGAAAATCTTCTTAAGAGAATAATCTAAGATGACGACCTCATTGTCCCGTCATCTTTTCATTATATCTTCTTCTCCGTCAAACCATCTCTGCGTCTGAAACTAAGAGCTCTTTTTTTTTTTTCAATTTCCCCACCGATCGCTTTAAAGAGTCCATTTCATACATTTCAAACCCACTTCTCTCTCCATCACTTTAATAAACTGCTGTGGTAGCACTCTGGCTTTGACAAAAAGGCAACATGGCCGCCTAATTCAATATCTGTAACTAATGGAAACAGCTTCTTTGCAGAGCAGCACAATGGGATGTCTGTATCACCCTYATGCTGATAGTCTTTGTTCAAAAAGGCCAAGTTACACATGTTCACAGACTGATGATGTACAGACGGCACATTTATCAGTATCGCACAAGCTTCAGTTAGATGTTTCCTGYGCCCCATCAGAGCCAAACCCAGCTAAACTCGCCTCCAAGTGCKTCTCACATTTTGGAGAGTCCACACCTCCAGCGAGCACCATCGCAGTTGTTTGGACAAGGGTTAAGGGTTAACATCAGAGCGGCACAGAGATGGAGAAAATAAAGGTTGTCAGAAGAGCCGTGAGGGCAAACACCCACGTCTTTTTTCATCCTGGTTGCCTTGACAACACAGCCTCCAAACAGCACCCCCCCCCACTTTTCCTGTTGTACATACAAATTCAGTTATTCACACACATGGTCACTAACAGGTTTGTGGTATCACTTACAAATGCACAGACACGCACACACACTCCTATGTGCAGCATTCATTTGTCTGTGCAAATGTCATCTTTACTGTCTTCACTGCTTATACCCACTTAACCTGACATGTAGCTTTTTTTATAAGGATTAATAATTTACAGATTCATCCAACTAAACATTAGAATACAAAATGCCGGTACAAGATTCAGAAACTTGTCTCATATTCTCTGAGCACAGACTCTTTCTGCAGCGTACACCAGTAAACACACGAGACATAAGATGAGAGAGAAAAAAGAAAGAAAAAAAATCCCTGGTTTGACTTATTTATCAATGCTTTTCCTCTTAAGACAYGATGCATGTGTAGAAAAATAGGTGAATAATTGACGAAGAAAACGAGTGGACTCATTAARACAACAGTGAAGGGTGGAGAAAGACAGAAGTGGATGGAGCGATGGAGGGAAGCGGAAAGACAAACAAGAAAAAGGAAAGAAGGGCAACTCCGGTGGGAGATCCAAGACAGGGTTAACAACAACAAGGTCGTAAACAAAAAGTTAAAAAAATTCATAGGAACTTGGAACAAAGAGACGGTGGGTTATAAAGGCGAAACGAACAGTTGTTAAAGATGAAATCTAGGAACCAGAGCACCGACCAGTAAAAGGTCTGTAATGATCAAATAAGGGTGTTGCAGCCGTGTAAGAGGATCAGATTCCCTCTGTGTGTGTACGTGTGTGTGTACGTGTGTGTGTGTACTGTATGTGTGACTGCGCATATCAGTGGAGATCAACGTGTGTGTCAGCAGGTCAGCTAATCTCTCTTGTCAGCTAATGGAGCCAGTGTTGCAGATGGAGTGCTGCCTCCAGCGCTCCTTCCCTCTGACATGTTAGCTGCTGCTCACTTCAGTCCACAGCTGATAAGGCAAATTGTTTATGGGCAGCCTGAGTATTGGTCACTTTTTCTTTTAACAGGAACTAAAAATGCAAAGATTTTTTTATTATTTATTTATTCATTTTTTGCAAAGTAAAACTGAACCTTGAACAGAAGACATAATCCTGATTGGGTTTTTTTCATGAGAAGGATCAATGGACTCTTGTAAGACTGATGGTAGGATGAAGAGGAAGATGGATCGATTGATTGAGGCCTTGACTGAAATAATGAGGGTGTGGTGGATTCAGTCTACGCTCCAACCTTCACCCTATGGTCGTGAGTTACGGGTCATCATAAATAGAATGAGAACCTGAATACAAGAGGCATATATGTTGACTGGGATCAGAGAAACATCATCTTCCTGGGTAAACTCAGAGTAACACCCCTACTCCTTCACATCAAACAGAATCTGTTGATGGGGTTCAGATATTCTCTCTCTGGCCTGGAAACGCTGTGGGACCCCCAGGAGGGGCTGGAGAGTGTCACATGGGGGAGGGAAGTCTGGCTTTCTCTCCTGAACCTGTTGGCCCTTCGATCTGATTATTGATAAGAGGTGGAAGATGGATGAGAGATGAATGATGGATGGATCAATGGGAACTTTACATGCCTGATTGATCTCTATCTTTATTCTAAATTTCCTGAATCGAATGCTAAAATAAAACAAAAATGTTTATTGTTAGGTCTTTAAAAGTGAACATTGATTCTGCATTTACAATTTTTTTTTCTATTTTTGTACTTCTCTCTTTTTACAATTCAACTAATTATTTTTTCCCAAAAAACACATTTTGGTCTTTTCAGTTTGTTGAAGAACATTGTTCTTTTTAAATCTTTTCTACACTTGCTCTGTTTTTGTCTTCTTATGCTACTTTCACATTTTACCTACCATTCTGCTGTTTTTAGCAAAGCTTGTCTTTTGCTAACTTTAGCTGCTAGGACTTTTTAGCTTTTAGATGTTCTGCCCTTTTTTTTTTTTTTTTGGATTTTAGAGTTCTGCTTTCCTTCATTTAATCAAAATCCATTTACAGTTTCATGAAATATTTTGCTAACTGACAAACACACACAGAGGCAGCTACATGATTGTCCGTGTTTTTTGTTGCACTTTTTGTTCCATACTTTGTTTACAGAAATTTTACTGTGCGTTTGTTTGTTGTTCCTCATGAAGTATTGTTTTTCAGATATTTCCTACAATTTTAAAGGTTGTCATCTTTTGCAGCTAGTGTAGAAAACAGATCAAATCAACACAATCAGTAACAAGAAACCACATCAAACCTTCTTTTTTTGTGCACAAAATAAGAAAGACATCATTTGTTCACATATTTACCCAAACTCTCATTACGCTGCTTGCACTCTTTCCTACTGTCATCTCATTCATTAGCAGCAGCATCCTTCAGATTCAGTGCCTGCAGCAAAGAACATGCTAATTACAGACACACCCCGAGTGTCATGTAGAACASTAAAAAAATGTGATGCAAGCAAAAACACCCCCACAAATACCACACACGTCTACACTTCACACAAGACACACACTTAAATGAGCAGTAATCCATGGGAGAGGCACTTTGTCAGGTCATATACGCAGCTTGGTGAGATACTTGTAGTGGCAAAATGCGGCGGTCTCCATCCAGCAGGTAGTTAATGGTGTTAGCTCAACTAAAGCAGGCAATCATGAYGTTATGAAATTACATGGAAGAGCTATTAGGAGTGACCTTCTCTCTGTATCCCTCCCTGCTTTCCTTTCATCCCGCCTGCTCCCCCTCACAGTCTTCGCTTTCTCCCCCTTTTTTTATCTCCTGCAGACAGCCTCTCCCCTTTTCTCCACTTCCTTTGGAACCAATACCTTTTACTTGTATTTCTTCTCATTTTGACCTTCACTTTCTCTTGCCTCGTGCTGTCGGGAACTAAAGCTGAGCGAAGACACTTCAGTAAACATGTTTGGGCACAGATATTTGTCCCACAGAGAGAGAAATTAGACGGAGATCAGACAGATGAAAAAAAAAGAAATAAAAGAAAAGGGAGTGGCGGGGGGGGGGGGGTGTATTTTAAATGTGTGAACCAGTAAAGCCTTTGGGGATCAAAGCAGAGCCAGTAAAAATAAGCCGACATCAGAATAGTGCCTGCCAGTGTTTGCCCTGAAACAAGATGCAGCAGCTTAACACAGCTGGAGATGACAAATCAGCTGCAGCAGCACAAACAGAAACAGGAGCAGAGGGAACGCCACCACTGATGCTCCACCAAAGCTGGAGGATAGCATGTTTGGTTGCGAGGCAAGAGTTTATTGAGAGGAAAGGTACATGGGGTTTATTGCTTTTATCATGCTCCAGGAAGAGTGAGATTCTTCAATTCAGAGGTCTAAAGAGGGGAGGTGGTCAGACAATTTGAACTGAAAGACATGCTCTCTAWATCAGTGTGTATGAGAGGAAAATTACAAAATTAAGAAAAGCCTCTTAAAGCCTTCATAGTAGCAAAAACCATCCACATTTATATGACTAAATGTTTTGTACAAGTCCAATTGTTATTCAAGTCAGCTCCTACAGCCTGAGTGTAAAGCTGCAGAGGAGAAACGCTGCAACAAGAGGCCTGCCGTGCTTTCAGATTAGCTTCAAGTGTGAAAGGAAGCATATGTGTGCACTTGTGTGCATGTCTGGGTCACATCAAGTGAGGTGTGCACGCGGGGGCGGGCTGAAGGTGTTTAAGGAGGGGGCAGTCATTCAGCCAACAGAGAGCAGTGGGGGGAGTGGTCCCTCGGGTCAGGTGATAAGTGGCCCAAACAGCGCTGCAGGACACATCTGCCAGCCACTCCTGTGACACGTGCTTTGCTCCGTGGGGAAAACAGACATGCCACAAGCTGAAGGGAGGGGCAGTGTGTGACCAAATAAACAAGTGAAAAAATGCATCTCATTGACAATACCTGATGAGATGAGAAGGGACAGAATCAAAGCCATTTTGGTCAAATCCTGTAAACTATCATGCATTATTTCATGTCCTAACAAAATTTATTAGTGCTCTGAGTTATGGTCATTGTGTTTGCTAAAATAGGTTTGCTCCAACGACCATCTTGACTTGACTCCAAAAGTTAATTCGTTGTAGATGTGCAACCAGTAMAGATCTTCGCACGGGTCCGTGAGATATTTTGCTAACAGACAAACTTGACTCCAACACTTGATTTGAAAGTTTTAAAAACAAGCATCATGCAATCAGATACTTTTTAGAGTATAAGTTGAGGTCATTCTCAGCTACTAAGGCACCAGATTTTAGCTCAGTATCTGTAAAACTAAAAAAACTGTTGTAGTGTTTGCTGGAGTTGCTTGGCTGTGGCGGCCATCTTGAATTGGACTGACTCCAACCAACCAGTTGTACCCTTTTTCTGTTGGCGTCAGTTAATGAAAAGTGTTTTGGAAAAGAGGTAATATAAAATATACTTATCCTACAGAACTTTGCAAATCTAGATGTTATTTTTACCAAAACTGGGTTGAATAAATCTCATCCTTTGCCTTTTTCTAAGTACTTCTGCTGTTGGCTGTAATCCCATCTTTTCCACCACTTCAGGGAAATGAGATTTTGAAAGGCCAAGGTCAATCAGTCCTTTGGTAGCACATTTGCGTGGAGGGCTTCTTTGGCTTAACGACTCTGAGAAAAGGGGCTTGATTTTTTTTTTTACTAATTTTCCTGGACTTGTAGAGACATGCTGGTATCACACATGTAATTACAAAATTAATGGAAACCCACGGGCAATGCCCATCAAAACAAACTAACAACATCACTGTCAAAGCCATGCAAGAGAGAGAATATTTGCATGATGGGTGAAATTTTTAAATAAAAATAAACAATCTACTGTTGCAACAAAAGTGAAAGGGAAGTTGGAGTTTTCTATAAAACGTTGGCGATACAGTAAATGACTCACAGATCTGGCATCTCTTGATTAACCAKCTCAGACAGCGTCTTCTTGCCAATTTCATTAACTTTGTCCAAAGTTGCAAAAGCAGCAATTCCCCCTAAGTGCTCCTTGTCTAATCAAATGCAAGATGGATAACGAAGTAGATGTAACATTCAAGCACAATTTATAGCAGCCAGTTATAGAAACTGAGTGGCAGAGGAGGGAAGACACAGCGTGCAAGAAGAAATTAGATAGAAGAGGTGAACAGAAAATTGTTGTTGATATTTTTAGTGTTGTCTCTGAAATACAAAAAGAATTCTAAAAACACAATGAGATTCATGAAGTGCACAGTAATCGAATCAGCCTCACCTTCCAGCAATTTAAACACAATTACACTCACATTCGTTATAAGTGTTGCTTTTGTGAATAAGCAATTTCATCGATTTGTTTTTGTCCAATATGGTAATTGTTTTTTCCTTCTTGCTGTGTTTGCACTTTGCATCTCTTTTCTGCTCCTTTCTCTCTTCTCACTCTGCAAGAGTGAGTCAAGACGTCTTTTTGTGATTTGCAACCTAACGGCTCATCTGATTGAGGCCAAGATCTGAGGRGATTGTTGCTGTTTTAAAACAACTCTGACCAGCTGTTAGCTCGTCAATCTAAAATAAACKCTACAGGCCTTTTTTCACTGCATGGCCCAGCTTTAAACCCAGGTTCAGCATGTCTGCATTAGCCCTTGTGGCCCAGTTCCACCCATATTTCTCACACTAGTTTAACTACACAACAACTGCGAGCTACAAAACAGTAAGTTAACTTTAGCGACCATTAGCTTACTGTCATCCTGCCCTCTCGTTTTAAGCATCGTAGAGCTGGGTGGTCCAGTTCAATCTCTGTTACTTTTTCTTCAAGTTTGGTGTAGTCCATTGTTGTTTTGTTGTAAACAAAACTAAATAAGATTTGCGTATGTTTAATATTATGATCTCCGTCCACATCAAGGTGGCTCTCTGCTCAATCCAGACACAACCAGAGCCAGGCTGACAGGAGCAGGGGTGGGCCACGCCGAGCCTTACAACGTAAAATCGCCTTATTTCTTCAAACGGAGGTTATTTGCAACAGGTAAGATATTTATTGTTCATAACATTTGATGCCATTTTGAAGCATCTAAACCATCCCTTTAAACACTTTTGCTTCTCTAAACTCTTATCAAGACATGTACTCCAATATTGGGGATAAACTCATTAGGTTCCTCCTGTCTCTATATAACCTTGTTACAAAGATAACTCTCTCTCACACACACACACACATACACATATACACACGTACACACACACAGCAACACACAGCTGGTTTGGATAATGATCAAGTCAGAGGAGTCCGTTTAAGGACATTTGCCTGCCATTCAAATCCGTCTGTCTGAGGATGGAAAACAGCAGAGAGACATGAGGAAACCAAGTTTCYGTTCAGCTTTTTCATGTTTATAACCTCCGTTTAACTCGTACACACAACCTGTGTGTTTGTTCAGGGTCACTGTTGTTCTGCATGACTCACTTTGTTGTAGTGTGAGTCAGTGTATGTAAGTAAGTGTGTGTGTTGATGCCTTCCCTTTTCTTTTCTCACCTCCCAATCACCATGACAACCTCCTGACTCCCGCTCAGCCTCACACTGCAAATATTTCTCTCCCTGCCCCCTCACCATCTCTCCCTCTCTCTCTGTCATATATCGGCCCTCTTTACCTTCATCTCCCGTCTCCTGTGTCTCCAACCCTTCCTCTCTCTCTCTCTCACTCTCTCTGTCTGACTTTTTCTCCCTCTTATGTCTGTATGGTTGAAAGAGTTCTTCCTTCCTGAATGCTGTCTTTGCTGAGCTTTTATTTGCGCTCCTGTCTTTCACCGCAGCTCTGCTCCCTGCTGACTGCCTTTTGCTATTAGCATGTATCGGCACTTCTTCCTCCGCGTCCCCAAGATTCTTCACACGGGGAAAAAGGAAAAAGCTGGTGGACCACATCTGTCCCGCACTACATCCTCATTACAACTGCTGATCCAAGATAATCCAGAATGCAATTACAGGTAGGGCCTTTATCAGCATCTACCATCAGACTCTATGAACCTGAAGGAAGACAGGCCGGTCCGAGGGGAAATACAGTCTCTAAGTGGCTCAGTAGCTCCCATCACATCTGTCATCATTATCATCAGGAAGCCATCTTTGCTCAGTAACTAAATCCAATCATGACCAATAGAGTCCACTGCAGAGATGCATTCGAGTCAGAGCAGCTTGTGTTCCCCCCCGACAGAGGAAGGGGCCAAACGCCGTCAAACGCTGCTGCGTTATCTGAAGCTCACAGCCCTATTTTTGCTGCAGACACACACAGCCGCCACTCCTCTCCCCATGTTTCCACACAGCTCAAACCCCTCTACGCACCATACTGTAGTGGTGCAAAAAAAAATAAATAAGAGAGATCAAGGACGTGACATTTTCTGCAGTGCGTTCCAATTTTCAGCAAGGCGATATATGAAAGAGAGTAAACAGACAACCTGTTCCACCCCGTCTGTGTCTGCATAAGTCTGCGTCATCTCCCATCAGACATTTAAAGAAAGTGACAACTGTGTCTGGTTTTATAATATCCTCCACAAAAGAGAGTAAATAAGCAAAAAGATATGTTTCATTCATTCCCCTTTTATTGCTTCACATCATCTTCCTTATAGGGTTTTGCTGCACAGATACCCCAGCTGTGGCCCGATCTTTGCTGCTCTACCCTTTTTACCCCAGTTATGGTAGACGACAGAAAGGGTTTGTATCCAGTTCCAGCAGGAGAAACCCATAAAAATGGAAACAGAGAGGTGGGACACAGAGACCCAAGGAAAACGGTGGTGACCTTTGCCTGCGGCTAACCGACCAAATGAGACTTTCATAGAGTTGAGCCAATGAGCTCTGACGCTTCATATCTACTGTTCTCTCTCTCTCTCTCTCTCTCTCTCTCTCTCTCTCTCTCACACACACACACACACACCCAGCTATTGATTCCTTGAAGGAATGCATGCCACCAGTTGTAGCTGTTTGGGTCAAAGCTTGAAAATATCAATTTGTAAGATGTCACACTCAAATAACTCTATGACCACATCATTTAAAATCTTAGGTCAATAACTATAAAAAGATGGTCGAATTACAGACATTTTTGCTGGTTTAATGAGCTGTGACAGCCACCTTGAATCAAGCTGTCTCCAAAAAGTTGTAGATGTCAAAGATTAYTTTCTGAAAGTTTCATTCRGTTTAATTTATTCGGTACAGACAAAYACACACAGAAATGGCCAAAAGCCTTATCGCTCCACGAGACGTGCACAGATGTTTGTTTTACATGAAGAAAATAAAGCAGACATGACTTTCTGGAGCACTGAATCCCCTGCTACAGAGGCAGACATCTAAATCATCTCCATCCCATGACACAACACAGCCTAAAACATGCTGATTGTGCCGCTTCCTATATAGGACACCCACACAGCACTTCAGCAGTTCTCGCCAGCTGCTGCGAGCCAAGCAAACGCAGCTTCAACAAGACTTTTGTTTCTATATTCACACTGAATAAAAGAGGGAGGGGGTCTGTTTTCCTGACACTTGTGGAGGCGGATGTTTGAAAGCACAGGGAAACAGTCTGCACAGGTAGTGGGAATCCTGTCACCAACATTTATTGTTTGCTCCTTCGTCCCCTCTTTTTTTAACGACAGGGTTGATAAAACAATGTTAACTTTGCAGATAAATTCAAAAGGATGAAATTTAAGACACGGTGGAACCCTGAAGGTGTGCATCTTTCTCTGGCATCTTAATGACTTCAGGCTGTTAGGCCTTTAACCTCCCATCCCTACATCTTCATCTCCGCACATCGTCCTCCTCTGCACACTTCCCGCTTTTTGCCTTGAGCAGGAGCAAACTTTAATGCTTCCATCAAGATTGTTAAAAGGATACTGATAGGAGAAGTGCTTTCATTTTCTTAGCAGCACTCTCCCCTGCTTCTCCTGCCCCACCTTCCTGCACACTGCCTGCAGAATGAGGTCTTTAGTGTTTGTGTTTAATTATCTGTTTCAGCTCATTATCAGTGTGTGYCTGTTCTCCGCAGTTTCTTTAACTCGGTGGGCTTTGTTTTTGCTCCTCGTCCCCGCCGCCCTGTTTATGACATCTGCTCTGTGTTCTCTCCTCTTGTTGCTCCTGTGTTCTCTCCTGAGGATYACCCTTTTTTATCTTCTCTTCACATCAACAACAAGCCTCATCCCGTGTCCCCTTAACGCTCACCGCTACATCAGAAAGTTCTCAACAAAAAGGATTTAACAAATGATTTCTTTAAAAAAAATGGGGGAAAGAAAATAAAGTGCACCCTGCGAGTCTAACAGTGAGTCTAGTCACAACAACAGCTCAGTTCTGTGCGACAGTGATGGCAGATGTAAACAGACGTTTTWAAAGAAAAAGTCAGAGTCTCATTATTGCAGCTCGGGGTTTGCGTGAGGCTCTCTCGCAGCTCCAGACTCGAAGAATTTTAATGAATTCCCAAAGATTCAAAGACACAAGGTCAGAAGAGCAGAACAGCAAYGAGCTTCATCTTGTTCAGGTAAATACAAAGAATAGTGATTATAAAGACAACTAGAGATGTTTGTCATGGCTAACATTCTGTGTGCAAAAAAAAAAAAGATTCACAAATTGGACAAATCGAAGGGAGTTTTCACAAAAGAAGTGAGAATCTTCCAGTAGAGGTGGAAAATGAACGTTAAAAGCATGAAAGCAGCAGACTAATATTTTCAGCCTGTGTTTAACTGGTGTTACTGTCAGCAAAATATCTCATGAAAAACCAGATGGATTTCGATAAACTCCCAGAGAATCTTCAATGGATGAACGTTTAAAACTGCTTTACTTTTGTAGTCAGCCCCATTCAAGATTTGCCACCACAGCTCAGCTGCCTCARTAAACACAAAAATAGCTTCAGCCTAATCAGTTTTAATGAAACTGAGCTAATTTTAATGTGCTAATAGCGGACAGTCATCCTCAACACATACCCTGAGTGTTAATGCATCTCTTGATGACTCACAATATCACATCTCATTTCTCAACACAAAATGTTTTTAGTATAAAACTCTAGCATTAAAGGCTTCAGGCGATATGCTTCCTCAAGTAATWTGTTTCTTCAAGGACTGCTTTGATGAAATGCTTTTCTAGTAGATTAAAGCCTATTATTAGGCTACATTCCAGGGACACAGTTCCTGTATTGTTGTTTTATGTGAATATATTACAGTCTGYCATAAAACAGAATGATGCTGTAGATTTTTGAAAGAGAAAACCTTTGAAATATTTGTGTTTTGTAATTGACTATGTTATGAACAATTCATATCTTAATTGTTACGGATGGCTCTGTGAATGATTTCATTCAGAGGAATAGAGATTAATTCTGAGGAGACTGGTGAGCTAACAGCTAGTGAGGTCTGAGCGAGGCCCAAAACAGTCTTAACACGACTCAATTCTTGAAACAAAASCAATAAATTCACAATCATTTATGAACGTGAACATTATTGCATAAACTTTTACAAAGCTATCAGTTTTGCATTTCACAAGTACTCTAGCAGGAATATTTTAACAACCTCACCTGTAACAACACAGCTAGCTGTTGCTGTTTTAATAACTGGGGTTGTTTTAAAAAGGCAACAGTCCACTCTGTGTTTTCCTTAGACCAGCTTGTCAGAATTAAACTTCAAACTGAGGTTGTTCAAAGAACTATCTACATCAGGTAAGATATTAACTGTTGTACCTTTCAACAAAACCGACYTACACCGTTTTCTAATGTTCTCCCTCTGTCTTTTGACATTTCTTTCTTCTTTTACGTTTTCTCTAAATTCAAGTCTCTCCCCTGCTGCTCAAAATCTTTTTTTTTTTTTGTTTGTCTAAAGCTCTTATTATCCTTCCTCTTTGTCTTTAGGCCTCTTGTCTCACGTTACCCTGTTTTAACCTTGCATGCCCCCTGTTTTCTCTCCTCCAGCCAGCGCCTGCATGCGTGTGGTGGGTGTAGTGTGTAATAGGATGGCACAGTAGGTGCGATTAAATTAGGCTAGTGTATGGGGATTACAACCCACTCCAAACGGGAT